TTAGTTAGTTATTCAATTGACCAAACCTTCTGAAAAACAGATTATGCTCCAAAAGCATGAAAAATGTCACACAACCTCAAAGCTCACCGTGTTCAGCAAGGAGAACTTTCTGTCTGATCTGGCATGCTCTTGCCTCCCACCCTCCCTCAGTTTCATTTTATTGGCAGCTGAGGACATGCAACCACTCATAGGATGAGGATTGGAGTGGTGAAAACTTTAGTGCCCACACCTGTTCAAGTCAATGGGCATTTTGCTGTCGACAGGAATGGAAGCAGGATTAGGGGATGTTTGCTCATATAGCGGACAGAGGTCACCACGTGGAAAAGGAGGCATGTTCTGGTTTAGGTGTCTAATTTTAGCGATGCTGAGCACCTACAACGCCTATTGGATCCAGTTGGGGAGGTAGCTACAAGTACTCAGCACCTCCAAAAAGTAGGCCCTGTTTATGTGTCTGTCTGTAGTGTCATGTTTGAGAATTTTGGCCAGAGTATATAAGGACCGGAATATCGTTCCTCACCCCTGGTGACTTAGGGATGGCATGGATATAACTGAGAACAGATATTGACCCTTGGATTGTATATAGTTTTAGCATGCTAGTTTCCCAATGTTTGACCTACCAATAGCTCATTTGCAAATGTGGGGTGTGTTCATAAAAGCTACAAAATTGGATACAAAAATTGTTTTCCTATTTCTTTGCTAGGGGCAGTTATTTTAAATAGTAATACAGAGAGGATTTACAGGAGATATATTTCTGAGATGAGTGAATTGTAGTTTGTATAAATATTGTTCCTTGTAGAGTAACCATGGATAAATATGTATTAAGTTTTACAGAATATAGATATCAGCTGTTTAGAGCTGTGTATATAAAATACAATCTAAACTCCTGTAACTGAAAGATTTTAGTAAATGCCAAGTAAACTGGTAAGCTTTATAAAGACAAGAAGTTGATTAATTTCTTTGTTTGGGGTGGGGAGGAAGGGGGGGACCTGGAATTCTTTAGGTGCCGTTTACCTCCAGTCACGTGCACTCCTTCTGTCAGTTTCTTATTACCAGAAATCTGGGGCTCACCCCCTTGGTATCATTACCAAGTTCACCAACCTCTGGAAGTGGAATTGTGTATCTAGAAAAACAAAACCTATTTCAACATCATTTCATTCGAAGGGAGCATTGGTGGTGGATTATTTAATTCAGAAAGGCTCTCTACTGCGACCAGAATGCCTTTTTTCTTTCAGTTAACTTTTCAAGAAGCAATATCTTGAGTGCAGTAGTAAATAATTAACACTGTGCTTTACGTTTACAAATATTTAGGTGTAAATCTAATTTTTTAATTTAAGATTTTTCTCCTTTCTCTCTCTCACGCACACTAACAATCTTTAGTATGGTAACTTTTTAAAATGTCATCAAATAAATTTCATCTTGTTTTTAAGCATCTCCTATACCTAGAGGTGGCTGCTCTCCACCATACATTTTTGAGCAGGTGAGAATCTCAGAATATCCATACTATACTGTTGATAGTGGGTAAACCAAGGACTGAGTGCAGGGCTCCTCACATTTAAAAATAAAATTCAGAAGAAATAAAATAGTGATTTGTAACAGTGGGAACAAATATAGATTTAAGTCTCCAGCCTTTTTATTTATACAAGGATTCAAAGAACATATTTCAACTTTAGATAAACAGTGCAAGATAGTTACAAGTACCTTGGTAACAGAAAGAAATATATAACTGGCCAGCTATGCCAATAAGTGAAATAAATCTTAATCCTCCAGCTAGAAATGCATTTTTTTTTAAAGCAAAGGTGTACTTCGGATATTTGTTATACCTTATCCCCTACCAAGCCCACCAGAAAACAATAGGTTGTTTGTCATTTGTAAAATGATAAATATCTGTGCTCTCAAAGCCGCTAATGATCCCACCCTTAGTTAAAACATACAAATTATGGCACAAAAGAGCAAGTTTAAAGACAGAGATGCCTGTAAATCCATTTTTCTGGTTCTCCACTTTGCAGGGATGTGTGTGTTTAATAATTCAGATAAGAACATGAAAATGAACAAATCCCATCAGCATCCCTAAGTATTTTCTACTTATCAAAACACTGAGAATCACCATCTTGCTAACAGAGAAGCGAATGGTCCTTTTCCCTCTTCCCCTTCCAAAGCAGCAAATCCAAAGTGAGTCATACTCCCTTGATATGGGCTATAGCAGTGGTTCTCTGGGAGGCTGTGAGCAGGTTTCAGGGGGGTCCACCAAGCAGGACCAGCGTTGGACTTGCTGGGGCCCAGGGAAGAAGGCCATAGCCCTACCGGTAGAGCCCTGAAGCCCAATGCCCTGAGCCCTGCCACCTGGGGCTGAAGCCAAAGCCTGAGCAACTTGGTGGGGAGGGCCTGTGGTGTGGGGCCCCAGGCAGCTGCTCTGCTTGCTGCCCTCTAACACCAGCTCTGCCGTTTATATGCAGAGAACCTGTTGTGGCAGAGGTGGGCGGTGGAGTTTTTATAGCGGGGGGGGCGGGGGGAAAGAGCTCAAAGAAAAAGGTTGAGAACCCCTGGGATAAAGCACTTAATGAGACAGTCCCCCAGGGCCATGAACTGTGTGTCAGTGCTCAAACAGGCTGCAACTACATGATAAAGAGATTTTTTTTCTCTTCCATTGTGTACAGCCATAGGCGACTAAATATTTATAAAACTATTGACTGTGGTGCTCAAATTTCTTTATCATTTAAAAAAAATCTACTCTAACGCCCTTTTGACATGTAATGTTTTCCATTCTCCCTCAGAAACTGGGTTAGGAGTTACATAATAGAAGGCTCATTTATACGTGTAATGGCAACATGGGCTAAATTCACTGCACTAGACCAATAAAGGCAAACTTGCATGAAATTACACCTCAGATTATGGTAGGCCCAGTAGCATCACCTTTCTTCAATTCAGTCCAGAGCCAGATAATTTAAATCTAACGGCAATGTAAACCTCTGGCTCAAATTTAGCTTTAAGAAGTAGTGGCATCCTGGGAATACAACACCAAAATGATCTAAAATTGTCTGTGTAGAAGCAAAGTGTAATGTGGGACAATGACTCTCTCATAACTGGCCTAAACACAGTCCACGTTTTGATACAGAAGTATAAATGTCAGCCCCCATTACGTGGCTGGATTAGGAAACAGTGGTAGTTGCCCAACAAACTAGGAATTTTAACTCAACCAGGGGAACGAGGACTTCACTACACTTGCTTTCTTGCAATATCTCTCAACATTCCTAGTGCTCTGATCCTACAGTCTTACCTTAAATTGCACATTCCATAAACAGTGACAGCACAAATCAAATTCTGCTTTTCCCAAATCTTTTGTTGTGCATCAAAATACATTTTCCCCCTTAATGAAAGACACAGAAGTGTTTAAAAAGTTTGATAAGCCTATAAACGTCTTAAACATAAGATATGCTTTCTCCCCAAAAATAAAAATCACAATATTAGACAAAATGAATAACAGCAGAGCCCAAACTCACGGTTCCCCGTTGCCAAAAACAGTCAGTAGGACTGTATTGTTACTCTAGATAAATTTCCTAAAGATACTTTTCCAAATGATGTTTACTGTATCTGCGAATGAGCTAAGCCAGCTAGGGAACCAAAGCGCACAGCTCTGTAAACACAGACACCCCTAACAGATAGATATGTATGTGTGTATATTTATATATAGCATTTGTTGACAAAAACAAAGCCTTTAGTTGAATCCACTCCTGGCACTCATGTAATAAACTATGAAAAATTACTGGCTAAAATTAGGAGGCTGTGCATCCATTGCTTAGAGCAGAGGACTGGAAGGTCTAGAAACATCCTGGGTTTTAATTCCTGATGATCCACTGACTCAATGTGGGGCTGTAGCTCAGACACTGGCCAGTTTTCTTCTTTAGTCACTGCAGTGGTGAAGTTGGAGGGGGAAAGGGAGGGGGGGGAGCAGGCATTCACTTAAAAAGAACTCTCAAAGCCCAGATTATACATCTGAGTCATTTTCCTGGGCACACAAACTGCCAAGGGAAGTAAGTAATAACCCTCTGACTCCCAATACTGTAACTTATTGCTTTAGGCCTCATAACTCTATGTGTATTAATATGTGAGACTTCACAAAATAGCAATTTGCAACAATCCCTTTGGTAGAAGGTTACTGTTGTCTTTGTCATTAACAAAGAGCTTCAGTCTCCTGTTGGAAACAAACCTCTCAAATGACAAATCTCACCCTGCATATTTTCACCTCAGCGTTGCATATTGTGATACCGGATTGCAGGTCTAGATTAGACCATCATTAATAGCTAACTTCAGTGGTTTCCAAATATCACGCAAAATCTAAAACTCACTCCCATTCACTTTAAAGTAGGAGCATTATTAATTGCCGCTGATGGCTAATTTTAGTAAACAAAACTACCTGTGTACTTGTAAGTGAAAGGACTGTTGCATTTTGGTTGCAAACACTTGGATAAGGAATCCCATTGTTAATCGAGTTTGTATTAGAATAAGAAATTAGTTGAAAAATGTACATCAAAGAAAATGAGTGAAGGATCATCTCTCTGCCTGCTTAAGAAATACAATAGAAAACCATGAAATAGCTCCTGAATATAACAGAGTGCTTGCTGCTGTTGTCAGTCCTAATTTTAAAAGTTGCACTGTTCTAAACCTGTCGTGCTTTAGATGTTAATGTGGTAAGTGGCATTCTTGGCTACGGTTGTATAACAATATTAGGTCAACTGCATATTCCACTGCTGTCAGTCAAATCGTGATCCTCTGAAGATCATTTTTTCTTTTCCCCTATCTGCAAAGGCTTGTTTGTGGCAAAACAATGAAATAAAAAATGAGGTACGGAAAGAAGGGCCCAGCATTCAAAAAAGACCAAACAAGGATGAAACAGCTCTAGCACTGCCAGATATCACAAACAATTGAGACCTTTTTTTTCTCCCTCTTTTTTGCCAAGATGAATTAAATATTGTCCTTTTTTTTTAATTTTTTTTTTTTTTGGTCAAAGTTAAGACCTCAGCCACAGTCTCTTTCATGGCTGTGCAAGTAAGTTACCGCCGCAAGTACTGCGTTGCAATAACAGCCACAGAAAGGAAGATTAGGAAGGAGGAAGGCAAAAATTTGCTGCTGGCCCCATTTATGCCACGTCCAGACTGGTTAGGAATAGCATGTACTTCTGGCTGCCTGGTGCTGGGGTTCTTGGAAAGTCTTTTGCCGCAGACCTCATCAGGGCAGCCATCACCGCTCCCAGAGCCACTGATGTCATCACCTGCACACAGAAAGAAACTCAGGGTGAGACTGACAAATCAAACTTCGTGCTCAGCACAGGACAGCCACTGCCTCTAGATGCTTACAAATTCAAACAGACGGGATGTCGGGAGAATCCCAGGGGAATTAATTCTATGACTGTCTCACTGTTTTTCCTTTCTATCGGTCATGTATATGGTCTGGAATATATTGGAAAATTTGTATTGTATTCCTTCACTAGATGTACTTTAATGAACATGGGATGGCGTGGAGTGTTCACAAGCCCTTGCAGTCAGGTGGTTAGCTGGCTCTGTTATCTGTGGCCAAGGCTTGAGTCAGTTAAGTCAGGTCCCTGCCAAACAAGGTAAAGGCTGTAGAGCACATTGGCTCTTCTGTACTTGGTCTAACATTGATGTTTAAATGGCCTACTGCTGTAGCAGCTAGATGCAGATTGGAAAATTTTAAGAAGTGACAAGATCACCCACCGTAGGCTGCTGTTTGTGCTTTGGAGAGAGATGAATCCTGAACTTTTGGTTTAAAAGCTGAACTAAGAAAGAACATCTTACATCACAGTGTGAGGCTCATGAAACTTCATCTCTGAGGCACTGTCAAGGGCGGTCAACTCCAGACATACACAGGGCTCTTAAGGATCAGATCCAAAGCCCCTGGAAGGCAACAAAGACTTCCATTGACTTCACAAATCTTTGACTCAGGCCTGGAGTGAATCCAGCCCCAGTCCTAGACTGTTTGATCCCCAGAACTATAATGGGTCTCTTCAGCTGAACATAACTGCTGATTTTGGGTACAGGGTGAGTTGTAGACTCTCAAATAATCTTTAGAGATGAATTCAATGTGCTGTGGATAACGAAGATTGGTTTAAAGTGTGCAGCCACCATGAAAATTAGCTGTAATTGTGATGAAAACCCCATACACCATCATTACAATCTAACCCATATTGACCGTGCTCTTCATCTGGGCAAGATAAAAAATCCACCTGAGAGAAACAGTGTTTTGCAGTCTGTCTTTTTCAGCTTCATTGTAGAAAACCCTTCAGCATTTGGCCCTGTGGAAACACTGTACAGAGCTGTGCAGTACAAAATCAACTTGCTTAAGGTTTTGACATGTCGGACCTGGTTTGTCATGTTTTTTCTGACCACATAAGTGTTCTAAATGGGCTATTGTAATTGAATATTGTTATTTAGAACAATGAAAAGAAAGCAAAGCTCAGGTCTACATGAATGTTCACCTGAAACACGAAATGTATGCCAGACATCTTGTCTTTGTTTCTACTTTACTGAAAAGCCTGGCTCAATGTTGATTATTTATTTATTTATTAGCGAGAGATCTTCATATTCATAAAAAAAGGTTAAAAAGGCAGATTCTCTCTTGAGACTTCTATATTTTATATAGAATTATTGTGATGGCAAATCTAAAATGAACCACAGACATTCTTCTGCTCTGTGTCTGTCTCTAAAGCTTTATCATGCCTTCCTCTATGTAAATTAAACACTGAAGGGTTTTCTACAATGAAGCTGAAAAAGACAGACTGCAAAACACTGTTTCTCTCAGGTGGATTTTTTATCTTGCCCAGATGAAGAGCACAGTCAATATGGGTTAGATACAATGATGGTGTATGGGGTTTTCATCACAATTACAGCTAATTTTCATGGTGGCTGCACACTCCTTACTGCAGTGTCCTATGATTTATTTAAAAAGTGTCCAGAAAGATTCTGATTCTGTTGCAATCTGGGGGGCAGGGGGGTTCTAAATTCCAAACTGCTAAATAACACTCTATGGGAAGAATTCCTCACAGGTGAGTTAATGGTTACACAAACATGGAGATCAAATATGGCCACGGGAGATCGAAGACATTTCAGCCCTAGCTGCCAGTAGATTGTGCCTTAGCATAGCAATAGCCCCATTTTGTTTGGCCACCCCAGCACTAAATGGAAGCACATACAACGCTTTCTGCATCGTCTGTGATCTTACATTGACTTACACATCTCTGGTGCACACACTAGCAGAAAGGGTGCAGGTTCTAGTCTTGAAGGGAATGCTGTGCCTAGCTCTAACCATACATGACTTAGAGCTCGGGAGGTGACACTCAAATTGAACGCTTTCCCCATTCCCTAGGAGCTGTTCAGGGGACAGCTAAAGATCACATCACATCGTCTTTCTTGGGGGCGGGGGCAGGTTAAACATCCTGGGTTGTGGCCAACTTCCTTTCCAATACAGAACAGGCTCTTAGGTGGCATGTGGGGTGTTGCAGAACACAAAAGGTGATTATGTTACCCTGCATCAGTACAGTGCTGTCAGCAGTGCACCTCATTCTGTTATTCTAATGTCCTTTTGGATGCGGGAGTATCACAGGCCGGATGCAAACCCACACTCCGTTCTGTTCCATAACAAGAGCCAGCAGTTGTTATGAATCAGGCCCTGTACTCACGGTAGGGCAGGGACTGTATCCTCATCAATGTTTGGAAAACAGTCACCCACTTTTTGTGCAATCTAAATAAAAATACCACTGCAGGACGCATGTGGGCATTTAGTCTTCTCTCTCGTTTTATCATGCACTCCCAGGAACTGGGATTAATGGAATTTCTCCAGCCGTCATTCAGAAATCACTTGGCATTCACGGTCTGTCCTCATCCCTTTCCCATTACTTTGGATTTCTGGTGTACTCACTAGCATCCTGGAAATCCACATCATTCCCATTGTATGCATTGCGCAGTCGGTTTGTCATGATCTTCAGCTGCATGATTTGCTGACGAATGGTCATATCTGGCTTGGTGATGTCCACCTCTACCTCTGGATTATTAATCTGATTGGCCAGACCATCTCCCATCACCTCTGGTAAATACCTACACAGGAAATCAATTCGTTCACATTGCTTTTCCCAAACAGTAAATTCTCCTCTTGGTATTACAGTTGCCATTACAACCGATAATCTACCATCTATGAGAGGGAGAGCTTTGCAGCTTGGTAGTATCATGGTTGTATTTACTCGTGTTCCAATCGCAGCCTCATGTTTCAGGTTCGTTCGTCTTTCTGCTCATACTCCTGCACCAGTGTAAGGTGCAATCTGAGCTCCCAACTCTTTGACTACAGAGATCTCCCTCGCAGTGGAAAGAAAAAGGCTGGATTCAGGTGGCCCACACAAGGCACTGAACACAGCTGTGCTGGGGGGTCCATGGTTGGCAGGGCAAAGGGAGGCGGGAATGGGTAGGAAGGAGGCCAGCGGATTTGCCACTGTATGTGCAACCCAGAGCTTACAGTGTGCCTCTGTCTCCCTCTAGTGGTTGGACTGCTTATTGCTACCAGCTATGCACTAACAGACTTGGGTATTTCAGCTGAGGCAGTATAGCCTCACTCTTTTAGAGCCAGAGATCCCAGATTCTGTCCCACGCTGCTGACAATGACCCCAGGGACATCACACAATATAATGACCCCCTGGGTCTCTATTTAAAGCTACTTCAGCCCTAGGATAGCTGTTGTGGAATGTCTCAACTTCTGAAAGGTAGGATTTGCAGCACCCCAGTGCCTAGGTCAACTCTGTGCAAGGCTGAGGATCTGGTCCCATGATGGCACCAGTAGCGTAGCCCACGTGACATCCAGCCCATTACACAAGAAAGGGGTTCGTCACCACATGGAAGATTAGGAAATTGACACATCATGACTGAGTCCATGACTGCACTGTAACTACCGGATTCATCTCCTGTTATGATTGACAAGGCAGCTGGGAAACCCTTATACCCAATCAACTGGGAGCTGGCTAGTTAGTCATTAAAGCTGCATTTCTCCCAGCTTAATGTCAAGCACTTAAAAAAAAACCTTTGGCATTTCAATGCCTGAAAATATTTTAAAAACCAAGGCCCAAATTCCCAGCTGTCATAGATCAGGCTACCCAGGGATGGTAACAGAGTTATGATGTTTACAGCAGCTGAGGATCTGGCCCCAAAACAATCTTTTAAGTGTAAACCATGGGCACAATGTACTTCTATGGCGGCAGAATTTCCAAGGGGTGAAGTCTAAGAGGGAACAGTGCGTAAATGGGTAACTAGGTAAATGTTTGCAATTCCCAGCAGCGCCTCTGGGTTTCTTCCAAAGCGAAACTGTCCATTCTACTAACGGCATTTAATGCCTTTTGAAAGTGTGTGAAGATTCTGTGCGTAATTTTGTGGCAAATGTGCTTCGATGTTTAAAAGTCTAAGAGTGCAACGCATTTTAAATTCAAGGCATCCGTTTCTCAAATACTGCCTCTGGGCAAGGGTTAAGCTTTGCACTTGTTCCTGAGAGGCTGAGCCCTTTAAACTGATGGGAGTTGACAGCAGGGCCAGTTCTAGGGCTGAGATTGAGAGGCCCACAAGGGGTGTGGCAGCCACAGCCAGACTCCTAACCAAGCTGTGCATTGGGTTGACTCACACTGGGGGTGCTCAGAACCAGGGCAGAAAGAAGGGGAAGGGGATCTGTCCGTAACTGTGGTGTGCAACCGCTCAGGGGGTGCAGAAGAACTCACGCAAAGGAATTCCTGACTGCCCTGATCAGCCCTCAATGGATCCTGATCCTCACACTGCCCCTGCTGGGGCCAGGGCAGTTACTGCGACCTTAGAGACCCTGGTGAGTAGAGGACACGGGATTAGGGTTGAAGCAACTGAGGGAGAGGCCCTTCAGGGCAACCATATTTTAGTGAAACGACCTCTATAATGGAGTTTATGTCACAGGCTGTAAAGCTTCATGGGGCAGGGATGTGGGAAGAACTAGCTTATCTCTGCACCTATCTTTATCTTCTCTTTCTGTGAGCAGCTTTAAGTTCTAGTATGGAGATTTTTTGCTTTGCTTCTCTACACCCCGTCCTTACCTCCCCTTGGCCATTCCGTTCCAGCACTTGTCCTCGTTCACCGAGCCGGATGTTATTTTCTCATTGCAAAGTGTGCTTGGAAGGGCAACCCAGTAATCCTTGATATCTCTCAGCTTCCCTTTGGCATCAGAAACCTGTAAGATGGAGGGAGAATCTGGGCCCAAGGAAACATCTATTAAATCCCAGAGGCTGGGTCATCCAGCTAGATGGTTATAGCTCATTTCTTTTATAACACAGAGAGAGCACTGTTGTTTTTTCACATACAGGAAAAGAGCACTAACTTTACCTTAAATAATAGCCCTCAGCCCAAGCAGCTGGCCAACTGAGGCCAACATTTACATGTGAAGGACTGTTCTGCTGTGTTCCTCTGTTTTATAACACAGCTGATATTAAAGCTATGTATCACAATGATGTGCTGGCTCCTTCCTAGCCACGCCCATTAAAATAGACAGAAGGGAAGAGATTAGCTCAGCAGGGCCACAAACCATTCTTTAAGCAACAGCGGGTATTGTGTGATCCTGGAATGAGGGCCCAGGGAGATGGTGTGAGAGTGTGGGCAGCAGGCTGAGAACAGGCTGCAGTGGGCAGGCCAGGTAACAGATTCTGATGGGCAGACAGAGAGACTCAGGAGGGCTGAGTAGGAGAAGCAGATCGGTAGGGCAGAGGGCTGAGCAAGGGAAAACGGCCTAGCAGGGAGGCTGGGAATGATCCAGGTGCTGTAATCTAGTGCCGAGAAGCTGAGCCACAAGCAGCTGAGGGACAGCACAGAACAAGGCGTTGGATCAGCCCGTCAGAGAGGAGAGAGGATGATCACCGCCTGTTGCCCACAGAATCAGAAATGTCCAATAAAAGACAAGGACCAACAGTGCAGCAAAGCTTCAGGGAGACAACATTGCAGCTACTCCAACATCATCATCAGGAGATGATGCTCCAGAACACAAACGGCAGAGCAAAACCAGGTCTAAAAAACCAAGGGCCAGACCTTCAGAGAGAGAAGCAACTAAGAGCAGTGATGAAGTTCAGTAGGGTGATGCACAACTGCCTGTTTTGGAGGAAAGGGCTGTCTGGCTTGTGCTCCACTCTGCTACCGATACCCTTAGGGAACAAACCTCTTGACAAACTTGGGGAGTCCCACCAGTCTGGTGCTACGAAGCTGAAACTCAGCAGCCAGAATACTGTGTTAGTTGAGTCTTCAGTGGGATAGCTACAGGTCAGTAACTTTTTCTACTTAATAGGCACATCTGAGGGTTTATTGGGAAGGCACCAAAGGCTAGAGCACAGCCGAGGGCTTGCTCTGAGAGTGTGTTATACAGAACACAGCACCTGACCCCAAACAGGGTTGGTCCCCACAGCTCTCGGTAACACCCTGCCATTGGGTCAGCGACGAAACCGACACATGACGTGGACAGACACGATGAGCCCACTATTGGAGCAGGCAGTTTTAAATATTCCAATAGGGAAATGTTTTATAAATTCAGAGAGACACTTACTAGCTTCTCCAGTCCAAGCCCTGAGGATTTATCGTCAGTGACAGCTTTTCCCCTTCTTTTCTTATCCTCTCCACTGGATGCTTTTGTGCTGATTTTGGGATTTCCACAACCTTGGAAAACCTGAAAACAAACAAACAAACCAACCAAACATTCCTTTATATTGTGGTTCAATAGCTTTCCCCATTAATTAGTGCTGTGTGTTTATTACTTTTCCTGTTAAATAATTCTGTCAGAATTCCCCATTTACTCCCACTCACCTGATCTTTTCGATTATGACCTAATTTTTGGACCTGTCACCATAGTCTGTATTAAAAAAAGAAAAATATTTCTAGCATTTTTGCATTTTCCTTCCATGATTCTAAAAATTCATCAGGTCTTAGACGAAAAAGCCAGGCAATCCTCCACCTTTCCCTACAACCCAAAATGAAACCATCCCAGTGTACTGTCCAAACAAGCCACAAGTGCAAATGGCAGCTATGTGGTAATCTCACTGGACCAACACTGCCAATTTAACACAATAACACAAATCATCACTAATTCACCCGGTAGTTCATGCTGGTAGCATCACTGTCTCCAAGGACTGTTACCAAACTGGACATGGAAGCTGGATGTGAGAAGAGGAGGGAGGGACACTTACTTTTTGTTCATAATTACACAAGAGCAATTTTGAGACATTTCTTTCTAATGCACCTTATTGGACTCTGGCAAGGGAAGCATGGCAGCTGATGGATTACCTCAAATGCTGAGGCAGAGGCCTGCAATGCTGGGGTTTAGCTCTCTCCCACAGCTATTCTACGGAGTGTACTTTCTAATATTAACCTTTGTAGATTTCCAGTCAAACATTAATATTAAAATAACTAACAATTCACGTTTGCTCTCACTGACATCAGTGAACACGTATTAATGGTTTACTCTCTACTATGGTTTATGAAGCAATAAACTGGTCTAAATAGTATATTACATATAGGATAAAAGATGGCCTTGTGTTTTTACAAGCTGGTGAGTAAGTAAAGCGGTCTCAGCTACTTTTCCCAGAATATCAGATTATATTTCAGGGCCATCTATTGTTAAATTTTAAATGCATACAAATACTGACCAGAATAATATAATCCCTGGGGTTGAAAATTCTGATGACCGGGAGAAATATCCCAAATCTATCTGGTCTGCAAATCCAACTAGAATAGCTCCACTTTTGAAGGCAGAACTGTTCAATAAATATTTATGTTCTGTGTTTGGAATGAGGATGCTTAAGTACTTCCCAGCCCATTAGTAACAAAGGAAGATGTTAAATAGCATCTACTAGGACTACATTTTTTTAAATCAATAGGCCCGGATAACTTACACCCAAGAGTTGGCTGAGGAGATTTTTGGCCCACTGATGTTAATTTTTTAATAAATCTTGGACTACTGGGGAAATTCCAGAACACTGGAAGAGTGCTAATATTGTGCCAATATTCACAAACGGTAAGCAGAGGTAATTAGAGGGTGGTTAGCCTGAACAGGTAAAATAACGGAAAACCTGACATAGGATTCAATCAATAATGATTTAAAGGATAGAAATATAATTAATGCTTATCAGCATGCTTTTTTAAAGGAAAATAGGTCATCGAATAAATCTGATTTCAATTCTTGTTTAGATTAATGGACTTCTGTAATTTGTTTGAACTTAATACTGTATGACATTCAGATTGAAAAATTCACACTATGCAATATCAATAAAGCACACATTAAATGGATTAGAACCTGGCTAATTGACAGATCTCAAAAAGTAATTATCAATGGGGAATCAACATCACATGGGGGTGTTTCTGATGGGGTTCCACAGGGATCGGTTTTAAGCCTGACACTATTCAATATTTTTAATCAATGATCTGGAAGTAAAGATAAAGTCACTGATGATAAAATTTGTGGATGCATTTTAATACAGCCAAATGCAAGGTCCTACCAAGGACAGAGGCCATAGCTACAGAATGGAGGACTGCATTCCGGAAAGCTGTGATTCTGAAAAGGATCTAGGGGTCATTGTGGGCAAACAACTGAACATGAACTCCCAGTGCGATGCTGTGGCACAAAAGGACTAAAGTTGGCTGTACAGAGGAGCAGTGAGTAGAAGTGGGGGTGGTGGTGATTTTGCCTCTGTATAAGGAAACAGTTGAGACTGATTGTGGATCTGTATTTGCATTTTAAAAGGATGTTGAAAAAACTTGGAAAGGGGACAGAAAAAGCCACAAAAATGATTGCAGGGCTGAAGGAAATACTTTACAGTGGGGACTCAATTTGTTTAGCTAATCAGAAAGAAGCTCAAGAGGTGACTTGATGACAGTGTATAAGTACCTTCACGGGGAGAAAATACCAGCTATATTTAAAACTACTAAAGGGCTCTTTAACTCTGTGGAGGAAGGCAGAAGAACCACCTATAGCTGGATGTTAAAGCCAGACAAATTTGAATTAGAAAACAGGCACACATTTTTCACAGTGAGGGTGATTAACCATTGGACCAAACTGCCAAAGGAAGCAGTGAAGTCTCCATCTCTTGATATCTTCAGATCCAGACTGAATGCCTTTCTGGAAGATGCTTTAGTCCAACACAAGTTACTGGACTCAATACAGGGGTAAGTAGGTGGAATTCTCTGTCCTGTGACATACAGGAGGTCAGACGAGGTGAGCTAATGGTCCTTTCTGGCCTTAAACGCGATGAATCTATGAGATTTCCAGCGTCCGACTATGGCTTCCGGGTCAGCCCAAGAAAGAAATACTTCAAGACAATACATTCTACGCACACTAGGTGTTCAGGTTTGGTTCTTACTTCATCCAAACTCCCATCCCTCTTTATTCTCCTGTAAGTACTTTCGCAGAGTGACTGAGATGCTGCTGACTCCCTACGGCTCATATTGGTTAAGCAGTGACTATGTGACTAAGCGGTACTCAGCACTCGAGAGGACACAAAGGAAACCATGATCCTCACGCCAAGGCAATTACAATCCAGACTGAGAGATGGAGAAAATCAGACACACAGTGCACTAAAGGGGCCAGCAGACATGCTTTAAGACAGGGGTTCTCAAACTGGGGGTTGGGACCCCTCAGGGGGTCAGCAAGGTTATTTCCTGGGGGCTCGTGAGCTCTTAGCCTCTGCCCCAAACCCCGCTTTGCCTCCAGCATTTATAATGGTGTTAAATATATAAAAAAGTGTTTTTAATTTATTAGGGGGGTCGCACTCAGAGGCTTGCTCTGTGAAAGGGGTCACCAGTACAAAAGTTTGAGAACCACTGCTTTAAGATATTGCAACTGGGGTCTTTCCAACAACTTCAATGGCCTTCATTGGATCAGAACCTTTATGAGTAGGTGACAGCAGTACGTTGATGTTTTTTGCAAGGAAGGATTTGAGTAGACAGAGTGTGGCTTGTCACGCACTCTGGGTGAGAGAGTGCTGCAAACCAGAAAGCCCAGTAGCTTGAAGTATAAAAATAAAATTATCCTAAAAATATCATCCGGCTGTAAAAAAGGCTCAGCCCAAAGTTATTTTCACTATGAGGAAGAACAACACTAGCGAGTGCAGTTTAACAAGAAAAACAGGACTTGACAGGCTGAAAAGCAAGAAAATGAAGTCTCTAAATATTTGGTTACTGTTTCCTTCACCCAGAGGAGGGGACCTTTTGATTAGTTACATCTTCATTATTACCTGAACACTCTGTGTTCTAAATGGATTAAGAAAGGGTCTAAGATCCATTTACATATGTACAGAGTGACCTGGAGCCACCCTTACAATAATATTACTGATGTACTAGAAGTGTTCCTGCAAGAATTTAAAATCATCTTTAATCCAGAACCTTAAAAGAGAATCTCCTCAATTCTATTTTCAGCTTTGCCATTAACTTCCACTGCAGCCATGGGCCACTCATTTACCCTCTCTGCCTCAGTTTTCCTATCTGTAAACTTGGGAGTGATAATACTTAATTATTTGACTCACAGGCATGTTGTGAAGATTAATTAGTCAGTGTTGACAAAGATCATTGCTAATGAAGCATTACGAATATTTACTAAGCATTAAGAATATTTTGAATTGAACAGGGTCAGAAGAAACTCTGGGGGAGGGATAGCTCAGTGGTTTGAGCATTGGCCTGCTAAACCCAGGGTTGTGAGTTCAATCCTTGAGGGGGCCACTTCGGGATCTGGGGCAAAATCAGTACTTGGTCCTGCTAGTGAAGGCAGGGGGCTGGACTCAATGACCTTTCAAGGTTCCTTCCAGTTCTAGGAGATGGGATATCTCCATTAAAAAAAACAACAACCTTTTACAGCATTATTAGACTGACAGCCTGATGCCTCTCTGCATTCCTGTCTTTGAAATAGGAGATCTGCCTCTTTTGGCATTTTCATTCCTTTCAGCATCATCAGCAGGGATCCTAGTTTTCTGTGATAAAAAACCCCAAATTCTCCCTTTCTGTGGATTGGTTGTCTGAGGTAAGCCACTGCTTCCATTTAGATTATTTAGTGTCATTGGCTGTCTGAGTTCATTTACTTGTGTATCAGTATTTAATGCTACTGGCTGGATCTCATTGTTATGGCATGCCTAGTTACTAATAGGATGCTCAGAGCTTTTTGTAGGGGTGCTTTTGATTATTAATAAAACCAACCAAATAAATAAATCAGTACAAATGGGCTCTGTGGTAGCCAATCCTTTCCAAAAGCATACCCTCATCTTTCCTCAAACACCCAATCAAATCAATGGTTTCTGTAGCATGCTTGGAAGGTCAGCAAATTCAGGCTCCCTCAGACCAACGGAACAGATGTCTGGAGATTTGAGTGGCCTAATGAGGAACCAGGTGCCTTAATTTGGACCTGTGAAATTGTAAGTTGATAAATGAGAGGTGAATTGAATAGAAGAATTCTCTTGGTTTTTGACAGAAGGTCTGTGGGAGGAGGGAGTTTCTTGTAATTTTGGTTCAAGAAACATGAACATTTTCAGAATAGGCCACTTGCTCTTTGGGTGGCTTTAATTTCAGGGTAGCTGCCTATGTAACCAAGTATGAATTTGCAGGCAGAAGCTATCAACGGATCCTAAAATAATAGTACATTAGCACACAATTCCTTAATGTAGAGAGATCAAGCACTCGAATGTTAGC